CTGGCTTTCGTGCACACCACCAGAGCGGGCTGTGCAGACGGGTTGCGTAATCAGTTGACGCGGCCCCATGTTCTGCTCGTATTTGCCGTGTCCCACCTCATGAATGACAGCGGAGAGGCACTTCAAAGGATTATCCTCGGAGTGAAACGTCGTGATACGGCAGTCCTCCTTAGTCATGCCGGCGAAAGGGTGCGGACTACTATCCAGTCGCCCCGAATCAAAGTCGAACTTCCAGGTACGCATCATATCCTTGCCGAGTGCGTTTTGTTTGTCCACGAGAAAGGGTCCTTTGAACGGAATGATCGGGTCTTTTACTGATTCCTGTTTCTTTATAATATCCCGTAGCAGTTGTGGTAACCATGATTTAACTTGCCCAATAATCTCGTCCAGGCGAGCAATCGTCGCCCCTGGCTCGTAAATATTTATAAGGGCTTCATATGGGGTCTGTGAAGAATCCGCCGCCAGACATGTCCCTTCTTCGCGGGCAACCAAGACGAGTTCTTTCAATACGGGTAAGAAATCGGAGAATTTATTATCAGACCGGCTTTTTTTCCATACCTTATGGGCCATAGTGACAAGTTTCGCCTTACGAGCTAAGAAGTCTTCCGATAGTGAGTTCATGCGCTTCCATAAAAGAGTCATTTCGCGAAGATTGCTTTTCTGAAGGGCAGAAAGTTCATCTTGTGCCGCGGTGGATTCATCAATCCACTTCTTCACATCTGGTGCAGTAATGTACTGATATTTGAGTTTCTCCAACATTGCAATGGCCTCCCCGCGAGACTCCTGACCCTTAGGAGGCATATACGTGTTCATATCCCAACGACATAGCCCAAGGACATGTTGAAGACGATAGATCGTCTCGAAAAGAGACTCCAGCTGGTTATATGCGGACATATTGAGTGGCTTTGGGATTGAGTAAGATCTTGGTTTAATATTTTTTAAAAATAGTGATGATATTTGCTTATAAAAAACAGCCTTTGGGTTCAAGCGCAGAAAATACAATCATAACATCGTTCTTCGTCAGTTTCCCCCCTCTCAAAAGTTGGACAAGACATCCGTAAACCGTCAAATCAGTGAAATATGTCCGCATTTGCGGCATCTGAAAAGTACACATACCGATTCATTTTGTTCTGTGTAAACCCCACCATTACCGCCCAGTGAAAAACACATCTGATAGGGTGATACCATCAAGATCTCCCGCTAGCCTCATCATGCCAAGGCAACATGCTTTGCGCAAAAAAACACTACCTGCTCTTCCTTCAACCCAAACCAGTTGTTTTCTAAAAAGAACCCTTGTGTTTCTTCGGAGTTTTCGTCGGAAACCATAATGAGAACCTGAATCAGAGACCCTCCAGTTACGCCGCCGCTCTCCTTTTCCTTCTCCTTGTGTTCGTCAGCGGAGATTATGGCAGTTAGCCTCCGCCAACCTCAGCTCCTGCACGCGTAGACCCTTTCGGGGTTGAAATCCCAAGCCGCGTGCGGCTCCCGCCGGAAAGCAGCGGCACCGAGGCCTCCTTCTTTGTGATCACCACGAGGCCAAGGCGCTTTAAATGCCTAATTCCCCCTGAATTCACGGATTTTACCGCATCGTCAGAGAAAATACTTTCCTGAAGGGGAGGCTCCAAACAGTTTATCTCCCTCTTTGTTTCTGTAATATACACGCCGTCATTATCCAGAGCCTTCAAGTTCTCTCGCAAAATGGTGTTTAAACGGGGGAAGTCAATTCCCGAATGGGTAATCTGTCGGCTGAGTATGAACTGTTCTTCCGGCGTGAGGACATCATAGGTATCGATGAGGTGCGCTTGTCCATAACCTTTGAGCCACTGTAACAATTGTAATTTATTCATTTTTTGCTTAAGCCAAGGAGATTTTTTTTTTTGTCCTGTTTTTTCTCCTATCGTTATTATCCACTCCCTTAATGACGGATATTAGTTGGCTGCATTAAGATCTACCTTTTGGTGTGTGTTTGTATATGTGGGAAGGTAAGGGTTAGGGTGAGTCACACTATTGGATGCCACGGAAATGGCCTTGGTTTGAGTGTCGAATTTAGCTAAAGGGGATCGAATTGGGGGCGTTTTCCACGCAAATGTACATATTCTGAACCACCTTTCTCTATAAATTCCGTTGTTCGCAAAATATCGAGCTAAATGTTTGACTTTTCAGGTCCAAATCTGGGTTCCGACTGCGGCTTGAAACGGACTGAGTCAGGATTCGACCTCTACGCCTTAAACTTTATGCTATATCACTCTACCTCATTTGGGACCTTAAGTTCACAGAAAAGGATGTCTTTCCGCTATGGGGCCCCTAGACGGCGGGGTCATCATTTGGACTGTGACGATGTGCCCACGGGAGGGTTCGTCCGCATCCTGTTTTGTGAGAACGGTCGAGTCTATTCGGGATTTGTCCTGTTGCGTTGTGACGTCCAACAGAAGCGAGCGGGTTCCCTGGTTTATCCATTGAATAAACAGAATCCACCGCGGAAACGCTTCAAACCGTTTGGGTGGAAACTGTGGTATCGTTAAACATAAATTGTTAATGTTTATTTGTGCTTATGGTTGTTGATTTATATGTCATTGTAATGTCTTTGTGTGGAAAGTTACTATAGAGTTACCCAACGCTATGGATACAAAAGGGGGTAGGATAAATTGTACTTTTTTACACTCGTGGTGGGGATTAAACTAACAAAGTGTATAATAATAAAGGTAAATATAATATAGCACTGCTGGCGTTTTTTTTGGCTAATAAATTTATTTTACATATATTTATGGGCGATTTATGTAAAGTAATATATATATATATACTACTGGAAAGAAAATAACTTAAAAATAATAAAAAAATATGATCAAAAGTCAAGTTATAGCGACCTGCCTCATTTTTACCGTTTTATATCATTCTTTAATCCAAGTTTTCCTGGCTCATCCTTTCTAGCGTACGTTGCCGCCATTT